ATCCTAGTTCACCCGAATCCTGATCTGCAATTCATCATCGAGGTTGATGCCTCATCTACTGGGGTTGGAGCGGTCCTCTCACAGCGGCAGGGGGTCCCCTTGGACTCCATCCATGCGCCTTAGACTCTAAGAAGCTTACCACAGCAGAGCAGAACTACGATATAGGGAATCGTGAGTTGCTTGCCATCAAACTAGCACTGAAAGAGTGGAGACATTGGCTGGAGGGAGCACATCACAAGTTTGAAGTTATCACCGACCATCGCAATCTCGAATACCTACAAGAAGCCAAAAGATTGAACCCACGTCAAGGCCAGGGGGCTTTATTCTTCACCAGATTCAACTTTACCATCTCATACCGACCAGGAACCAAGAACTGTAGAGCCGATGCCTTATCCCATCTTCATCAATCAACCCCGGATGACCCAACTCCAGAACCCATTCTCCCTCCAGCCATGATCATCAGTCCCATTAAGTGGGCCATTGATGAACAGATCATCCAAGCTAACCACTCCAACCCTGCTCCGCCGGGAGGTCCAGAAGGGTGCCTCTATGTTCCTCCCACCTTGCATCCTACCCTTCTGGACTCAGCTCATACTTCTCCGGGCTCTGAAAACCCAGGTTGCCGACGTACCCTCTCACTCTTACGTCAACGCTATGGTGGTGGCCCACCATGCCTCAGGATATCTCCTGGTACGTCAAGGGTTGCTCAGTCTGCGCCGTTACCAACAGTCCCTGAAGACTCCCAGAGGGTAAACTGGTTCCTCTTAATAAAGTACTTAATAAGAAACTTGAATAGTAAATCAGTATGCTTTTTCAAGCCAACCTAAAAACATGATAGACTTTTGAGAATGTGAGGAGGGTTTGTGAAGCTAAAACACTATGAGGCCATTTCTTGTTTTTTTTAAAAAGTGTCATTTGTAGTATATCAACATTCTAATAAATGCATGTTACACACACATATTTCAGAGGTGTCAGTCTGTCTGCATCTCAAAGGAGGCCATGCAACGATTTCATACATTTGCACCATGCAAACAATGCTTCTGAAATGGAAAAATACACACACAAAAAAACAAAATAAATCTTTGAAAAGAGCTTCATAAATCATTCTGAAATACCTTGAAATATTTGAGAGCTGCATTACTCATCTACGGTACATCCAGTGACATTCATTCAATAAACCATCCATAAGAAGATAGAAGTCCATCCTAATTATCCGTAAATGAACTGTTTTCCCCTTAAAACAAAAACAAAAATACACTATTATTGTCTTTCTACACACAGCACAGGAACATGTCAGCATCTGTGAGCTGTACACAATTTTGGAAAGAGCTGTTTGGTAACATATCCATTCATTCCAATGGCAGTTAATAAAGTGGAACATGAAAAAAAGCTGCCATCTTTGCTTACAGTCACTAAATTCTGTTTAGTTTTTTTAGCATGTCATCTGAGCAGTAAAGAAAGGCCATGTGACTAAATACTAACTAGCAACAGGAAAACAATGTTCTGATTAATACAGGCCTCTGAATCTTTCAAAACAGCCTCTGACATTATTGTTTAAAAACAAACTAATGAACAGCAATTATACATTTCAACCAGATCCATACTTATGCCAAGACTAGCGTGTAGAGGGGTGAATGACAGGTAGAAATAAGAATAATTCAAGAGAAAGAAAGCAAGCAGCAAAATGCAGCTACAGGCTGCTGCCGGTTAGTGCGGATCCATTAAACCTGTCCGTGACTCGCCATCAATTAAACATTAAGGGGAAAGACTGTGTACTTTGCATGTATTCACATTCAGTGAGATGTCTTATGTGTTGGGAATATTCATCAATGCAGATAAATGACAGCTCAACAATACCTTCATTTTATGTCATTTTATTAAAAAATATTCAATTTGGTGCAGTGTATAACAGTGTAACAACCTATATCAGTTGTCACTGTAAATCTCCCAATAATGTATTAGTACAATAATATTTCAATGCTTATAGTTTAAGATTAAAAAAGTAGTTTTGTTGTTTAAAATTAAACACAATACAATGATGATTGAGGGATGAAATAAAAAAAATATTCCTCAAAATCCTGATGGATCATACTCACCTATACTGGATAATCAAGTAAACCTACATTGTTTACCTACAAGTGTTCATCTTGAAATATAACTATATAAATGTATTCTTATGTTTACTTGATAAAAATCAGTAAAGATTTCACCGCAAAAAGACTTGTGAACCACGACCTGAAGGTAGACGTTTTTACAACTATATATATAAAAAAGATTTACTATGGATATAAACTATCAATCAAATCACAGGAGACTTGCAGTAGTTTTGATTGTTGATAATTATAGGCCTTAGAAATGTATTTATGAAGTATGATACAGTATGTTTAATGTGGCTTCTACAGATATGATGTACTTTTCTTGTGTTTCTGTGTTTAAAATCACTGTGGTTTAAAGTAGTCTTCAATTGTAAGTAATTTTTGACTTTAAGTGTCTTATTGATAAATGAATGTGTTGACTTGACGTGTCAATGCTGCACTTTGTCATTCATTAGACATGAATTATGAGAAGCCTTTCTGTCAGAAATTGTACTCAATCTAGTCCTCGTCTTCTCAGCCAATTTTGCAATTTTCTACCATTCAGCAAGACTCATCCAAGCCCCATCAAGGGCTGTGTTTCCAAAAATATCACCATCAGGGTTATCGTAGAGACCATTGCTGGAAATGGTTTTTACTTAAGCTTTCAATGACTTTAGGAAACGGAGGGCAGCGAGGATCCTAGGATCCCATCTGGTCATTTTTCTGATGATCTACAACAAGGGTTACAAACTTTTTATTCCCCCAAATATGATATGTATTTATCAACAAATATAATGATCCCTTTACAAAGTATTTCCCTTCCTAAAAAATAAATCAATTAAATTCCCTTCCTTTAAATCAATTAAATTATAATTAACATTAACATTTTCATAGCTAATGAAGTAAGCTATGTATATGGAGCCCTTCATTGCACAATACTATAATATTAAAGGTGACAATTAACAACATACCCAAAACTATTAAATTCCGTTCCTGTTATTTGTAGATATAATAATCAACACTCAAAAAAAAAAGAAAAAAAAAAAAAAAAGAAAGAAAGTAAATTGCACATAAGGCAGGTTTTGCATCATCTGAAGTCCTGTCAGGAGTTGGCGGTGTCTCTTCACAGGTGTTGGGCATCTGAAGTCTTCATAAGAGGCTGGATCCAAACTGGAGCTGGCGTAGTCGCTAGGATGGGCATTCCGAGATAAAACAAAGTTTAGGAGCAAATATGAAAATGCTCTCCCTCCTTAAGTGGACTGAGATATCCTAGGTACTACTATCCAAAGATACTACCTATCTTTTAGGTACGACCTTAAAGAGTGTGATGCATTGTAGGGCGATAGAAGATCAGTTAAATACACAGGAGCTAAACCATTTAGGGCCTTATAGGTCAGTGGTAATACTTTGTATTGATATAGAACTTAATAGGTAATCAGTGTAGAGTTGATAATATTGGTGATGTATGATAATATTTTCTTGACTTGGTAAGAACTCTAGCAACTGTATTCTGGACTAGTTGTAGGTTGTTTTTTGAGGATGCAGGACAACCAGCTAATAAAGCATTACAGTAATCTAGTCTAGTGGTCATGAATGCATTAACTAACTTTTCTGTTAAACAGATGACATTTTCTGTGGCTTTGCGATGTTTCTGAAGTGGAAAAAGGCTGTTTTTTTTTTTACATATGAAATATGATTTTAGAAAGACAAGTTGTTGTCTAATATAACTCCCAGGTCTTTTTCTGTACAGGATAAAGTAACAGGACATCCTTCTAAATGCAAATTGTATTCAAAGAGATTCTGTGTACAGGTTTTTGGTCCAATAAGTAATATCTCAGTGTTATCCGAATTTATTTGAAGAAAAGTACTTGTCATCAAATATTTTATATCTTTAACACACTCTGTCAACTTGGATAAGATTTAATTTGGTCATGATGTATTGCTGAGTATCATAGGCATAACAGTGGAAACTAATTCCAAGTTTTCTTATAATATTACCAAGTGGTAGCATATACAGTATATTGAAAATAGCAGAGGGCCTAACACAGATCCTTGAGGCACTCCATAATTTACTGACATTATCTTAGATGTTTCCCCATCTATACAGACAAAATAGTAACGATCTGATCTAAACTTAATGCCTGTTATTATTTATAATAGCCTTCTTCATTCATTGTCGCTGTAATTAACAAAGTGTTATTGGTTAAGTAGCTCAAATGTAAAGAGTTAGATAATGTTTTGTTAACAACGTATTAACTTTACATAGTTATCACTTTAGATTAGGTCACGGAAAATGGGAAAATGAAATTAATTGAGTGCTTTAAACCAAACTTTATTGGACAGTAATTGCATTATTATTATGAGTTCATTAAAAGGTTTACAAATACATTAAGCCTATCTCCAAAGCTAAACATAAGCACTTAAAAATAAACGAACAAGCAAACAAACAAATAAATGACAATATGAGTTACATACAAATACTCATAAGATCACGTTGTTAAAATAGATGAGTAGGGATTAGTGGTAGATTTAGGGGACAGAATATACAGTTTGTACAGTAAAACTCATTATTCCTATGGAAAGTCCCTATTAAACATGGAAATCCAACATACCTTTACTGTTAATAACATTTACTGTCAATAAGTTGTTAACAAAACATTATCTAACTATTTACATAAGAGCTAATGACATTGACAATGAAGAACTTACTATTTGTCTTTAGTCTATTAATGTGTAACTACAGTAATTAATAAACTTATAGTTTACAAATGATTTGTAAGTACGTTATTACACATTACGTGTTATAAAGTGTTACCAAAACACTTAACTTAACTGCACACTTCTTTAGTGGAATCTTTTATTTATTTATTTTTTGTTTGTTTTTGTTTGTCTGTTTATCTATTTAGCCTGTCTTCCCTCTTTCAGATCCTGGTGCATGTGGGCTTTCTGACCGAGGAATCCGGTGATGTGTTCAGTCCAAAGGTGCTGAAAGGTGGGCCACTTGGAGAGATGGTCCAATGGGCAGACATCCTCACCACCCTTCATGTGCTGGGACATAACCTGAAGATTTCACTCTCAGTCAAAGAGCTGCAGGGGTGAGTCATGTGATAATGCTGCTCAGTCTCCAGTCAGTTACCTCATTCATATGCATAAGCTAGCCGTAGCCTTGGTACTATTTATTATTTGATGACCTGTGCAGACGCACTTCAGTTGCAGTGTTTTGATGGTGACATTGAGACCTGCTCAGATAAACAAACAGTGACAAATTGAAATGCAATTTTCCATAAAATATGCATTTTTTAATCATTTCATTGATAGCTTCACAATATACAAACATACACCATATATTTGTTTGAAACCACAAACTCAAATGTAAACTTTTCTTTGTAAAGTTAAATGCGCTCATTTTCTGATTTCTGAAAATCACATTCTGACTCCTTGGACATCGGGTCTTGCCGCTGTGGGAATTAACTAGGCATCTAGACAAGTTTTTTGCTTGGTTTATTAAAAAGAAAAGAAACTAAAAATAAAGATTACACTTTATTTTGATGGTCCCCTTCAGATATTATGTTGAATATGCATAACGTTGCACCTACATGTCAACTAACTCTCATTAAAGTATTAGTTGAGTATTAATAGGTTTTTAGGGGTAGGTTTAGGGTTAGTAGGAAAAGTTGGCGTACCTTCAAAGTTACTTGTGGTCAAGAGAATGTCTAAAGTGGGCCATCAAAATAAACAACAAAAGCTACACCACTAGACTGATTTCAATCATGACAATAATAAAAAAAAATGTGTTTTAAAAAACTCCCTAGGCAGGTGGTGCTGGGGAAGGTGGAGGGCTAGGAAAATTCCCAAGGTGCACTGCACGGAGTTAAGCTTGTCCGGGGCGGAAATAAATCTGTTACATTGATAGAACAAACAGATCAATTGGCCAAAGCAGTCAGCTTTAAGAAAACCAATCAGATGCTCGGAAGAGTTTCATGACTGAACTATGTATATAGCCTTTCCAAAATGAACTAATGACAACATTGACAAGTGCATTTAGAATTTTTTTTTCACAATGTACACTACCAAAAGTTTGGAATATATATTCTGAATTATGTTTTTCTCTTATGCTCACCAAGGCTGTATTTATTTGTCAAAAATACATTAAAAAGTGTATATTGTAAAATATTAACTGAAATATTATTCCGTTGCAACAATGTTTCATAATATTACTTTTTTAAATAGTATTTTTAATCAATTAAATAAATACCTCGCCTGAGGCACCGATCGGGCCAAAAACAACAGGTGCTCCTTCAAATTCCTGCATTCAATACTAAGAGTGTATTTCAGCACTACGGACAGCTCCCTCCACTATACACACAGCAATCTGGCAGTGTTTGCTCGAGTTTAACGAGAAATATGTCTGGGAGATTTTAAATCTCTTCATTTGTACTTGCCTTGGATGCTCTAGGATAATAGAGCTGAAAAGAAGGCTATTCTAAAATACCCCAGGAGTGAAACCTGCTTGAATGTGTGCATGTAATCAGTAAATAGTTGACAAGAAAGCAGTGAGTGTACGCAGTAAACGTGTAAACATGTAAATGAGCTCACAACAGAAAAAAAGGTTCTGGTGATGGCTTTGATAAATCGCTGGAAGAAAAAAAAAAAAAGGTAATGTCGAACATTGAACTTTACTGTCTCTGGATGATCCTAGTGAATTTAAATTAGCTGGAAAACTGAAGCACCGTGACAGTTGTTTCTGTCTCGCTTCATGCTGGACAACAACTAGTTTGACCTTCTCCTCGGCATAGCTGTATTATTTTTTTTTATTTTGATGTAACATACAGATGTGAAACTTTACATGGAATGCATAGCCCCAAACCATACATTATTTTTTTCTGTGGACTACTGGTTAAAGACCCACTCCGATGAAAATAATGTTTTTCTAGGTGTTTAACATGTTCTTGTGGCATTTTTCTGATGTTAGAGGACATATCTTGAGAAAAATCAGCTCAAAGTTGTATTTCTGAGTATTTCTACATTCAAATGGCTGTGAATCAGTAGCAGACGCTAAAATGCCGGCTAAAATCGACTGGAGTTGTGACGTAGTAACTCCACTGGGCGTCTCCACACGCGACGTCTTGGAGTGAAATAATGATCGGTGATCGGTGATAACTTTGATTAACTTCGGATAATAATAATTAACGTGTATATAATACTGTTGCCCCACCGGTATTGGGGGTGTAAGCTAGCGGGAGAGACAGAGCTCTCAGCAACGGGCAGGGGGAGGGTCGTCTCCGTGCCAACGGCTCCGCCCACAACGCAGAGGCGAATTGCTAATGAGCTACTGCCGCCCTGCTGAAGCGAAGTCCCAGAAAACGGCACAGGTTTTGTGATTTTGGCTAAAAATGGCATAATCATAATTTAAAGACCACTGGGAATGTTTAAAAATAGCTCAAAATATGATCGGAGTGGGACTTTAATGTGAAAAAGCCCCATTGTCCCCTTAGAAAAACCAATTATGACTATTTTAATTATTAGGGGTGTAACAGTACACAGAAGTCACCTCGGTTTGGGGGTCAGAGTTTGATACATTTACATGCACGTGCAAACGGAAAAAGGAGAACCAAACTAAAACACACTGAAACTAAACAGAAGTGAACATTACTGTTATACATACGTCACATGGTGCAAAATGCGTTAACATTTTAAGAGGAACGCAAACATACTTGTTTATAAGATTTGAAAGAGCTACAGCAGCGGGAAAGATGTATGGACATTAATTTGCGTTATATTACCTTAAATTGCCTACACCAACACATTTAAGCATAAGTGGACTTAAAAGCTTACTCTTTTTACATCACAACTTATTAACTAAATATGATTTCAATGACGATAACCAATAACTTATTTTTCACACCATCAGTCACACGCACATTCAAGCCTGGACGATATTCCTGTTCTTTTCACCGGTTCATTGAATCAGTGATTTGTTGAGTCAAGAACAGTTGCAACCAATTCACCAGGTTCACTGGAAAGAGTCAATTCGTTCAAGACATCGCTATCCTATATCATAATAGGGTGGTGGTATATTTAGGTTGAAATAACAAGGAACGGCATGTTTAATGGAATGTAGCGGAGTAGAAAATACGATATTATGCTTTGGAATGTAATGAAGCAACATTTTTCAAAATAAAACTGCACTGATAGAGTACAGATACTTGAAAAATGAGTACAGTAATGAAGTAGAAATACTTTGTTACTGTCCACCACTGTTGTCACCATACATTGGATCCAAGATTAAAAATGAATTAAAAAAATCCAATCACAAGGTGTAAAATGGTGCCTGTCATTGCAAAGACACGCACATTCTCTGGTGATCTTTGACTGGGCTTCGTAGGGTCAAAGTCAAAGTTGAAATTGTTTGAATGCCATGTTACAAGTTCCATCAGTCCTTTGAAAGATTATGCCATCCTCACTTCACCTCCTAAAGTTCAGCTTTTGGTTTTTGCCAATCTCGCTAACTGTCAAACCTGAAATGTGTGAAAATTGCCTTCAGTTACAGTTTTTGTTGAACTTGAAGACATTCTTTTTTAATCTGTTTTGTCAGAGCATGTGCTGGAGTTTCTGCTCCTGCTGATCCGAATCTCTGTCAGACTTCAATGTGCTGCTTTGAAGTCGGATGAAAAGCAATTTCAATAGTCTTTTCATGAGGAGGAAAAAATAATTCCTTTATTGTAATCTGATGTATCTATAAACTGGCCAGTGAAATCACGAAACATCTACAGTATGTGAGAGCCAAAATATTAAAACATACAGTATTGACGCTAAAGGATGCCATGTGCGTAAGATTTCGACGAAATGTACAGAGCGTCACATGTATGACGACTTGGGATGGGAACGGGCTGTGTATGTCTCTGTTGCTCAAGACATTTCTCTGCTCAGATTCACTCGAGTGAATTATTATTATTATTATTATTATTTAAATAAATGGTTCCTCATCTCTTGCATTTACTTAGCTGGGACCTGAGCCATATAGAGACCAAAATACCACAGGCTGCGTTCCAAAACCCAGTAAGCCTTCCAAGGCGGCATCCTAACTAAAATAGACCTTCATAAGACTCACAAGTGATTTCAAAAGAGATTGTTATGGAATGCAATGCCAAATACCCTTTCAACGAATATCAGTTCACTCGACGACCATACTGTATTTACGATGACTATTTTGGGCATGCAAGACCAATTCATATCTCAAAAACAAAACATGTTTCCAAACTCACATTTACTCAACAGATCGGCAACTATATCTGAAATATACTATAATGTTATTTTCTATGCAGAATGTACTGACAAACATTTATGATAAACTAAAATATACTTTAATTGTATTTCTATTGAAACGAGTATGTCATGCATTTAAATATATTTGTAATGATGTTGTAATTTAGTATACATTTAAAATATATGTATTAATTAAATATTAATATATATATATACAGTATATATATATATATATATATATATATATATATATATCATTTAAATGCAGTATTGGAAACACATACAGTTAAAATGATAATCAAGTACTCTACTTAGTATGCTCAACACATTAAAACAAGGGCACTTCTTTAAAAGTTGACAAAAGATGATTTAAAATGACTTTTTTTTAAGTGTACTTAAGTGTGTTGAGAAACATTCACGTAAGTGTCTCTCTTTAAGGGCACTTACATGGCCTTTTATGTAATTAATTGTATATTATCAGCAAGTACAGTTTTTAAAAAGTACTTGTAGGATTTGAAGTACACTACAAGTGCACAATCAATACAATTACATGTACTTCTTTTTCAAAATGTTAAAAATAGATGGACACATTTTAGGTAAAATAGTCCATTTTAACTAGATTGAGCGTGGTTTTATTTCTTTTTTCTGTACTAAATATATTCTAAATAGGGCAATTATCTCGCTTTATCCACCTTTTTTCTTCACAGAGCATGATACAGTTCATTCTGAGAGTGTCTTCTCCACAAATGATACATGAAATTCTGCCTCAACACTTGTCTAGAACATCACCTCTCTATTTGTCTCAATGGAATATTTCAGAAAAGTCCAG